TCGAGAGGTCGGGTAGATGAGGCTACCATTGATTGTAGTATTCGCTTACAAGACCCTCTAAATATTCCGCTGAACCTTAGCGGTAGAATTACCAAGAACCACCCACTGTGGCTTGCCTTCATCTTTTGGCAAGTAAAAACTCTGAAGTCCACTAAGAACTTTTCATGATTGCTTGCACACACCGCTGCTAAATTCACGAGCAGTACTAGGGGTTAAATACTCTGGACTATCTTTTCCCATTGCGTGCTGTAATCAGAATAGTTACATGCAAGATTAGAAACCTCTGAAACTTAATAAAAGTGCAATTATCATGTGGCATGGCCGCTGGACCTATGCAATAATTGCTTCACCACACATAGGGAAGTTCTAAAAGAGGCTCGTAGTAGAGTGGCACGTGCTAAGTCGACGCCCTATTGAGTGACAAAAAAAAACTATCCACCATTGTCCAATGCATTGTGCTTCGTATGCACGTCTAATTACGGCACGCTGAGGATCGTGAAAACAGCTAGGTGCTAGTGATGGCACTCTTTACCTGCTAGATGAAGCTAAGTATTCATGCTTGAGTCGTGCGTGCGCTGTGATAGGGCGGGTCACATAGACACCCAGTCAAAATTCAATCTATTAGCCTGGCACAGCATCATAACATTTTAGTCGATTCCTGGCTGTAATACAGAACTAACATACAGAGAATTATTATCGCGATGCCAAATATAGGGACAGTTTCGGCAGGTTATGCTGTCGCCATTGTTGTAGGGATTCGCATAAAGCCTAAACAAATAGCACCACCCCGCGCAACACATGCTCTAATAGCCCGAGGCTTGGGGACGAACAAAGCAGAGGTTACGCAAGCGCGTCACCCTCGTCACCCAAAGAACACGTGCAAAAATATTGCCCTGCATGCAAGGACCACGGTGCCTGGCTCGTCCAGCGGAGAGGAAACGCCCCACGCACGCTTCGTTCGGCAAAGCAGCGTGAAGGTGCCCCATTTGGGGAGGGGAGGGGTGCGTGTCTTGAGCAGCGTCTGTGAACTTTGATCTCAAGAGCGCGGTCACGAGATCAGGTGCAAAGGTAATCTCGACATATAATAGGAGACAGTTCGTATACGCACACTGTGCCCTCTCCGCTTACTCCACACAGAGAGCCCGAAAAATACTTCTCTCTCTAGAGAGGCAATATTTGTTTGAAGCTGCATTCTGGGGGGAACTTTCACACTGATTGCTTCGCCTACACTGCGAAACAGTGTTTCCTTCGATAGTTCCCTAAAAGGAAACTGACTATGGTCGAGAAATAGGGCTCTGCTTTCAGTGTTGATTGTGAACTGCCGGAGTAGTAGCGATGAAACGGCCGAGTTTGCTGCTCTTCCAGACATGACTCAGTCATCTGTAGCGCTAGGGAATGGAATCTTGGTTGGATGAAACCAATAGTGATACGGAAATCTTTCTTGGAAATTATATTTCTTATCGAAGGGATCGTAGCTGTCGTGGAGATGGAGTCTTTATACTAATAGATGAAGTGATTGACTCTAGGGTACTGCGAATGGAAAGTTAGCCACAGTGAGGCTGTCGGGACTTTGATTAGACTTTCAAACAGTAAAACTGTCTCTCCGTGTTTAATTTCTCGTCCACAAAGCAGTACAGCTAATTTTTTGCATAAAATAATTCATGCGGTTAAAACTGTCAAAAGCGAATACGTGAAAATAGGTGATGACTTTAACCTTTGTGAAGTCAGTTGAGCTTAGCAGGGGCCCACATCGACCCGCACAGTCAGTTAATAAGAACATATATTGAACTATGCGGAACCTATAATTTAACACAGATGTTCTTACAGTCAACACGGGGAAACAATATATTAGGTCTCATGCTAGCGAACGCCCCCATGGCTGTAATGCCTACTTTTGTGCTTCTGGCATTAGCGATCATGCTGTTGTTCGCTGCGAGTTCAACTTTCAGTATGCAATGGTTGCAAGTTGCGCTAGACAACAAATTCATAGCTATCACAAAGCCTGTAAAAGTGATACCAAAAGTTATGCGTATTATGTTGTTTTTGAAACTTCACCGGAAACGAAAAATGCGCACATATTATGGGATGTATTTAAACAAAAACTTCTCAGTTTACGAGATCAATATTTGTCGTCATGGCTAATGACACCACGACGCAGCAGATCTAAACCATGATGTGCTAGGGGAAGTGCGGAGCCTGGTCAGAAAACGAGCAACCGCTTACACTGCTTACAGAAAAACACCATCATCGCACTTGAGCAAAATACTTGAGCAAATAATGAATCAGATGAAAATTGTGGTTAACCTAGAGCAAAACACGTTGTTCGGTTCTTTTAAAATGCAGGATTCAAAGAAGTCCAAAAACCTATGACAGCTACTCAAATTGTACGGCAAGGATGCAGTGTCTATTCCTCCACTCGAGCTTGACAGAAACTTACTTCATAGTGACATAGAAAACGCTACGCATCTTAGCCAATACTTTAGCTGTGTGTTCGCTGGCCGCTCCAACGTCAGTGCCATTTTGGCAGAATCCTGTGCAAGTGGAGAGCAAATGGATGTTTTTGTTTTTGATCATGCGGGGCATCCAGAAATTGTTAGAGAAATTATGTGCTTCATAGGGCACTGGCCTGGAGGGCCTACAATCTGCTTTATTTTCTATGTGTGCACATTCGGTATCAATATATTCGTTTGTTGTCTTTTCAAAGTCACTGAGTGAAAGTGTGTTGCAGGATGATTGAAAAATTGCTAACGTTGTGCCTGTGCACAAGTCTGGCCGATGCAACATTGCGTCAAACTACCAGCCAATCTCACTTACTTGCAACAGCTGTAAAATTATGGAACATATCCTTTTTAAAAACATTATGAATCACTCTGAATAAATATTTTATATTGTCGCCACAGCAACCTGGTTTTTGACCTGGGTTTTCTGGTGTTACACAGTTGACTGAATTACCACACGATTTGGCTACTGCGTTAGACAACGGGTATATAGTTGACTCTTTGTACTTGGATTATCTGTAAAGCTTATCATTCAGTTTCTCATTCATTACTAATTTGGAAGCCGTCTTGATATAACATAAACCTTTCTGTTATCGAATGGATCTAAGCATACTTGAACTTCCGGCGTCAGATGGTAGTGTTGTATGAAATGCAGCCCGATAAAGTGTATATTACTTCAGGCGTGCCGTGGGCTCAGTTCTGGGGCCGCTCTTTTTTTATCTACGTGACCGAGATCTGTTGTGGTATTTCCTCTAGCCTTCATATGTTCGCAGATGACTGCGTAATATAGAGGGTCATTCATACCGTAAACAATTGCACTGCGCTACAAAAACATTTCAATTTGATTAGCACCTGGTGCAATGCCTGACGCATGGGCACAAATGTGGAAAAATCTGTTTATATGTGCTTTTCAAGAAACAAATGCTGTAATACTTTAGTTACACTATTATGCAGAACAACTGGCACAACTGTTCGAGCACGAAAATCTTGGTGCATACTACACTGCAGATTATCCTGGCATCGCCTATATCAAGTATGCTACACGAAAGGCTTCAAGTGTTCTAGGCTTTCTTAGAAGAAATTCGAAAAAATTCCATCTTGCCACAATCGAGCTCTTGTATAAAACCAATGTTAGACCAAACCTTGTGTACGCTTGATGCGTCTGGGATCCTTGGCAGTCGGAGAAAATTGAAAGGATTGAATATTACAAAATGTAGCTGTCAGCTTTGTTCGTGCCAATTAGTTCTACCAGTTTAGAGTATCAATTGCAAAGGAAAGCCTTGGATGGGAGTATCTGCAGGAACGTAGGCAATACCTATGGTTGAATATCTTCCATAGTAGTATTCATTGTAACAATGGCATTAGTGGGGATTATTATTTGCATATTCGGTAGTTACCTATCAAACCTAATTGATTATGCCTATATAAATCAAGGACATAAAAAGCAGGAAGCACTACTTCAGGATGGCTTTTTTTCCACGAACAATTCGTGAGTATAATAAGCTGCCTCAAAACACAGCCACCATTATATCCCCTGTTGTGTTTGCTTTCTCTCTGCAGGATACGTATCGTCAATAGTCCTAGTGATCACCTGTGGTGTATTTGCTTTTGTGTTTAGTACGAAATATTTTTGCTGTCGTTTTTTTTGTGTATATGGCTAGTAACCACTGTATGTGTACAAATTACCTGATTTTATTATGGCTATGCTAGTATTTACTCCCCCCTCCCACTGTAATGCTGAAAGACGCTGTCCGCTGTGTAATAAATGATAAATAAACAAATAAATAAAAAACATATAAATTTAAAACAGCCACTCGTTTTTAGTAAACTTCAATGCAAGGATGAAGAGGCGTAGCATAACGTATTATTTCATTACATTATCACAACCTCGGTAGACCACGGTTAGTCATCGCTGCAGCTTACCGCATGGGTCGGAATACCCTGTCCGTGGTGGTGCATCAGTAATTACAGAACTCGGTCACGATCAGAAAATCGTAGGTTCGACGCCTGTCGCGGCTGTCGCAATATGATAGAGGTGAAATGGTACAGGTCTCTGCACTCTGCATTGTTACTGCGCAAGTATTAAGCACCAGATGGTAATTAGGACACTCAGTTGCATCTTTTACAGCACAAACCAATTTTGTCCGTAAATTGGGTTTCTTCTGGTAAATAAGTATCCCTGGCGCGAATAATGGGATTGAAATTGCATGTAGTAGTATAATACTACAAGTAAGCTTTTCGTTCTTTATATTCTGCGCATATTCTGATGCTGCCCATAATTCCAACTAAGTGACACACTAGCTTATACACAAGATTGCTATTTCAGTATGTATGATGAATAGATCAGTGAACATTTTTTACAGAAAAAAATCTAATCATCCCACACGTGTGTTCAAGTCAATGTCGGTTTGCAACCACTAGCGGCATTACGTCGCAAAGTTGATCCCTTTGCTGATAGCAGTCGCATTACGTGAAATATGTACAAAAGCAATGATATATTACCCTTCGAAAAATTGCGCCCTGGGTGAGCACCTGCACATGCTCCGAAAAGCGCAGGCCCAGGTGGTTTGTGTAGCAGGTGAAAGAACCTTCAGCAACACAGGCCGATGCGAAGAGCACTATCATGCACGACATGCTTGATGTTCCTGCAATCAAAGTCCTGCGAAAGCAAAACAAAAGAAAAAAAACTGCCTCACTCATCTGCTGCTTTGAAGCCATTCCTTTTGCCACAAACTCTCAGTGGTTGTTACAAGCGCACACCGGGAGTGGATAAGGAAATGTTCAAATTGAGTGACATTCTGAGGAGGTTTATCAGCAGTAGCATTAAGGGTGAAAGTTCGCGCTGGTTTGCCTGTCACATCGGTTGCATATTGAGTGGGTAATCTAGAGAAGCGATGCCTCATTCTTCTTTTATATGCTTCATTGGCAACATAAAAACGTGTGTTTGTTGCAGTTGTGACATTGCTCAGCATTAAGAAATATTATTTTAATGAAAAATGAAGGAAACCGTCAAGGAGCTTGTTTTTTCAGACACAGCTAATAAAATCAACAGGCAGTTGAGTCAAGAAAGGCATAGAGGAATTGTACGTTTTAGAAGTTAATCAGCTTGTGGTCGGGCCTTCACCCTTTTACCTCATCATAGCCATGCTATAACTTTAAGTGCCCCCTAGATGGCTCTGCGGCAGAGCACTCACTCCCCTCCGGCGCGTGTTCAGGCACCAGGGGAGACCGCTAGCGGCAATGCTCGGTACTGCATAATAAAAGTGCTCACTTCTTTCCATCTGTTTCACACACACAGTGCATCAGTATGAATGACACCATTAATTTGAGTGTATCGGAGGCAAGGCATCGCAAAGCGTCTCTGTGCGCAAATATGAACCTTTGCAGAGATAAATAAAGAGCAGCTCTTCACGGACCATTAGGTCGATGCATGGTTGCTTCGCAGTGCTACCCAGGGTTTCATGTAAGGGAAGGTGTGGGCAATTCATTTGACAGTATAGTTGTGATTATAACCTAATAGAAAAACAAAGTGAAGAGGATGAAAAGGTAGAGCTTCTTTCGGTAACATTCACACCCTTCACTTTCTAAATACTCGTGTGATGCTCTACAAAGTGAACTACGATGAAAGGTGCCTTTCGTAAACTTTGTGCGGTTTTTTTATTCAGGTGTCAATGATGCACTAGACGTAAGATAACATAAAAGGCTGTTCGAGAGAAATTAAAAGAATAAAGCAGGCGATATGTTTAGAGCTAGATGTTCTATTTTATTGATTTTATGGTTTAGGAAAGCTTGCTGTATATCCAAAAAATAACATAATGTCAATGTGCCGAATCAACTTCTTTTGCAATGAAAATATTTCATAATGATTTTTTTGTCCAGTAGTCTCCCGGACTAAGCTACAATAAGCTAAATGGGAAGAAAATGAAGCCTAATAAATGTGCTAGGTTTTTCGTTTAGTGGAAGAAGATACCCACATGTAGCTAAAATGCCTGTGATAGCGTTGAGCTTTTTTTGAGATATTTTCTCTGTAATAATTTCAAATAAGATGCGAAGAAAATGTAACGCCTAGTAATTTATGTTCATCAACGCTTTGCAGTTTTTCCCAACAAACATTAACAATTGTTGGCAAGTAAGGAATTCGTTTTTAGCGCGAAATATCATTTCGCGACAGAGACAAAAACTACGCCATAACACTTAAGCACGAAAGACTTGCCGCCTTGTTGTAACTTTTACCTCAGAGCGTCCTTGTCCTGATTTGCTTTATGTCACACTTCACCGAGCTGGTAAAAATTAGGTACCTGCGTTGCGCTTCAACGGTGACGTTCCCACCCGCGGTACTTCAACGAAACCAGGACGCGCATCGCCTACAACATTTGCATTCGGCCCTAAAAATCAAAACACTCATCGTATAATTAGCAGTTGGCAAGGCGGCTGCATGAAGATGCAGTTCACCAACCCTTTTTTGTTCGTCGTCAGGTAAGGAACTATTATGGTAAACCATTCCGTAGCAACAATATCTGCCTGCTACTGCTGCCTTGCCGCTTATGCTCTAAACTAATGCTATTTGAAGTTTCAGTTCGTTACTGGGAGGTCATACTGAACCTAACCGAAGACTCTCTACTTGCCGAGTAATTGAAAGCTATAGCGGTGAAATGTCGAACGAAGTAAGCTCTGCGAAAAAGGTGAGAGTGGAAGAGCATACGGACAACATGCAGGAGGGGCCATCGACCTGCTCCTTTATTGATGAAGATATCGAATCTGATGAGGAAGCAGATACTTTCACTCAAATGACATATTAAAAGAGCAGATTTGAGGGAATTCCTGTGGTATTTTGACCAATACAGGAAACGAGAACATTCTGGAAAGTAAAACCAAACGTTGTAGCCTCGGAAATTGTTGTACTTGCTAAAGACTAAGTGCGTTCTTTCCGACTGAACAAAGATGGAAGTTTCTCAGTCACCGTGAGCTCTCTTGGTTCAGCCAAAACCTTGTTGTCTTGTGCGCAGGTGGCCGGCTTGCTGGTGAAGCCATTCATTCCGGAGTCTTACATGCGAAGTGTAGGCAAAATTAGACATGTGCCTCTAGAGTCCACCGAAGAACAACTTACAGAATATTTAGGAGAGGCAGGAGTGATGTCGGCTAGACGCCAGACTCGATACATACGACAAGAAGATGGCACTGTAGCATCGCACCCACTGAGAAGTGGGATTTTACAATTCAGATATGACAGACCTCTTACAGAGAAAGTATTCCTTGGATTTACAAGCCATCCATTTGAGGAATATCTGGACCCAGCAAAACGCTACTATAATTGTCAGAGGTTCGGACATTTGTCAAAAAAATTGCCGAGGAACAAGGCACTGCAAAATATGCGCCGAAGACCACCATCACAAGGACTGAAAATCGATAACACAACCTAAGTGTGCCAATTGTAAGGGGCCCCACGCTGCATCGTTCTCTGGATTCCCGCAGAACAAGGCCGCTTCTTTTCAATATCAACACGACATGATCTACGGTCGCACGCAACAGCATGAAGCGCCTGAGCCCAACATGAACACCATGAACCCAGCACGGCCTCATCGACCGCAGGCACCTAAACACCAGGACCATGTAATGACGTACGCGCAAGCTGCAAGAGGACAACGAAAGCAAGGGAAAAGTGCGGGGACATCAACAAGCCAGCAGCAAGCTCAACAAGAGTCTCAGGAGAGACCTCAAGAGAAAAGTAACCACGTGGTTAACATCCGAGAAAGCACTAGCACATCGCGTCCAGTAAGTGTAATGCAACCAGAAAACTCCTCTGTGTGGATAGCTCACATTGTCATACCAATGTTATTATCGGCTTTAAAAGGCATACTAGCCGAGATCCCACAGACTAACAACCTTCTTGAAATCAGTCTTGAACAGGTAGTGTTACAATTAGCCACAACAGTCACTGCGGAGGCAAAACATGGATAATTGTTATCAAAATGACGCGATGTTTCAATGGAATTCGAATAGTATTCGCCCTAAGTGGGCAGACTTCCGAAAATTTGTGGCTTAGAGCTCCTTTCCAGTGTTATCTATCACAGAGGCCGGGGTAGATATCACTTTTCGGTTATAGAACTACATTGTGTATATGTCCTCTAGATCTACAGGACTGACCAGAGCGATGATATGTGTGAGAAAAGATCTGCCATCAGTACAGTTGAAAGCTACATCAGCGGATTATCCAGAATATGTAACATGTGAGGTTAGATTTGGTCGAGTAAATATAACAGTAGTCAGCGTTTACCTCGAGCCTTCTACAAATATCTCGATTTCTGCATGGACAGCACTTTTCCGAATGTACACGAAAGCTGTGATATATTGCGGAGATTTCAATGCTCACAATGTCATGTGGGGAAGTGCGTACTGCAATCGTCGCGGAAAGGACCTACAAAAAGCAATTCAGGATAGTTCATTATGCTTGTTAAATGACGGTTCAGTGACGTTCCTATGTGGTTTAAATTACTCTACTTGCCTAGACCTCACGCTCTGCTCACATGATATTGCATCTGGGGCGTCATGGCGAACAGACATTGAAACAAGGGTAGTGATCATTTTCCTATCGTAATACAGCATTCAAAACTACGCTTTACTAAATTTAGGGCCTCAGCAAACTAACTGGCAAGGATTTCGTTATCACATATCACATCAAGGTGATACTGTTACTGACACTGACAGCTTAGTCTCACTCATAGAGAACCAATTAAATCAGTGTTCCAAGTTTGTTAAATTTCCTGAAGGTTACGTAGGAGTAGACGCTGAATACGAAAGACTTAGGGCCGTTCGCCGCAAGCTGAAAGAAAATACAGACGCACGGGTCTACTTGAAGATTACCGCGACTGTCAAAGAACGCAAGACCGCATGAGACGACAACTGGATAGACTAGGAAAAAAGCGCTGGCGGGAATTCTGCACTTCGCTAATGCCATTTACACTCGAGTCAAGATTATGGAAAGTTCTACGCTCTTTAAGTGGGACAGTAACACATCAACAGCCATTTAGAGCCTTAGCTTTAGTGAAGAATGTACCGAAAGCAACCGTTGCGGACGACTTTTGTGAGCATATTACACGACCTAGTGCAGCCGAGCACACGCCTGAATACATTAAGTCTATTGGGGATATTAAAGCATTGATGTTTTTTTCTCAATACACATCATGATGACCTATATCATCTGTTTTCACGGCAATAATTAAATAATGCTCTTGCAGTGTGCCGACAGAGGACAGCAGCTGGTCCAGATGAGATAACATATGCAGCATTAAAAAACTTCGGTCCTGTGGCCACATATACTTTGTTGAAGATATTTAATAATACTTGTACAACACAGTACCTTCCACCCTCCTGAAAAGTTGCAAGAGTGGTCCCGATTCTCAAACCCGGAAAACGCCTTTATCCATAGATTCTTTGCATCCTGTCAGTCTGACTAGCTGTTCTTTGCAAACTTATGTAAAAGATGATAGACGCTAGACTTCAGTTGTGGGTGGAATGTACGAAGATGCTTCCAGAAAATATGGCAGGCTTTCGTAAACGCCGCATGCACCACGGATGCCATTCTAGACATTGTAACTTATGTATACCATGAGAGTAGCTGTGGAAGAATCGTCGTTGCAGTATTTTTAATTATAAAGCGAG